ACCTTGAAGACATAGGGGTAGGCAGAGAGTTCATGAACAAAAACTAAAATGCCCGTGAAATAATTTAAAGAATCAACAACTGGGATCTCATCCTACTGAAAAGTTTCTGCACATCTAAAGAAATCACCAGCAGAGTAAAAAGAAAACCCACAAATTGGGAAAAAATTTTGGCTGACTGTCCCTTGGACAAAGGTCTTCTATCTAGAACATATAAAGAATTAAAAAACATCAGCCCCTCCAAATTCGAAGACTCAATCCAAAAATGGGCAGCTGAGATGAATACATACTTCTCAGATAAAGAAATACAAATGGCAAATAAATACATGAGAAAATGTTCAACATCATTAGTCATACTGAGAGAATTTAACATTGTGCTCATTGTAAAAGAGATAGAGCACCTCCAGAAATCAGTCCATTATCATGGAACAGGCATGGGGAGGTGAACTTGGAACTGAGATGCAATAAATGCATAATACACACAGATAGACTAGAAACTCTTTCTTCTACCCTAAATTTCACTACTGGGGTAATTCTGCATATTCTATTGGAGATATGGGCTGCACACTGAGCCAGTGCTTGTAGGCATGCCTGTAGGCTCACTGGCAAAGAACTAGGAAAGAAGACTGATACAACGTGTAACCTTTCTGAGTAACATTTTCTGCATTAGGACAATAGATATTAAAAAAATCTTACTGCACAGGTCTGCTGTGAGAATTAAGGAAGACAGAATTTGTAAAATCTTCAGCTTAGGCCTGAACCGTAAGAAATACATAATCAAATTTATTACCCTCCACTCAGAGGACAAAAGGTCAACCACTGCAGCATACCTTTATTTATCTTTTGCTAGTCTCCTCCAGAAATAAAGTCAAGTTAGGTATGAGGGTTTTCACAACATACAACCTTTTTTATCCTCTTTATTTGGCATTATATAACAATCCCCATGTTATTTAGCAAGTATTTAATTATTTATATGCCACATTTGTAATTTTTTATGTTCTTCTGTCTTTCAATTATATCCCTTGCCAATTAAATGTTATTGTTAATGAGGCTCCATCTGAAAGCAGTGGAATGCAGTACTGCCGGGCTATCTAGAAAGCTCATTTTATTTGAATGCTGGTCATTGTCAACAACGCTCCTGTGGAGCTGATTCTTATCAGTCAGTGGGAGGACCTTCATTAGTTTGCCCTTTTATTTCAGAATTTGTTACTTTCATATTCTTTATCCAAACCGACTGTCATGATAGTTCAGCTAATACCCACTGGATAATAAGTTCTTAGACCTAAAAGGGCTTGGATGCTTGATCAAGATGCTGTATTTTAGTCCTGGTAGGACTACATGTTGGAAACAAATTGAGAATAGGCCTCAACCTAGCTAAAAAGACTAACATTGAATATTATTTATACTCTTTTATAAGACACTAAAGAATCAGACAAATAATTTTCAGATTATCTGGCATAGCACTGTAGAGCAGAATTTACTACAATGATTGAAATGTTTTATATCTGAGCTGTCGAACATAATAGCTACTAGTAATATGTTACTATTGAGCAGTGTACATGTGCCTGGCAATGAAAGGAAACAATTGTACAAAAGAAATTTTTCTGTTTAAAACTTTGTTTTGTTGAAACTGCCTAGCTCTGTGACTGCTTCATGGCTTTGTAATTACTTTCTTGACCCCTGGAACGATGAGAGGGTAACCAAACATGGCAGATGTCTAATTGTAACTGATTATCATTCATCTAGCCCTGTAACTGATGATCTCACCTTGTTAGCTAATCAGAAGAACTGCCAGGCTGTTCTGTCTTATCTTTGTACCTCCTTTGTACTTCCTGCTGTGCATCATATAAAAACCCTAGACCACCAGAGATCAGGGCCTGATATTCTGGGAATGATCCCAATCAGTGCCCATCAACGTAAATAAATCTGACTCCAAATCCTGGGTATCATTTTGGTGTTTCTGCTTACTGTTGCATCAAGACTATGGAATTGAGTTGTTAACTTTATTTAAATAGCTAGTAGCTTCCATAATGAATGGTACAAACCTAGACAGCATAGTTTAATAGAAGAATCTGGAATCTAAAGCTTCAAAAAACAAAAACTAAATCCAGGACAGTGTCACTAGCTACATATATTTGGTCATGTTATTTATCCATATATGTTTGCTTATGTACAAGCTTCAATCATCTTGTTTGTGAAATGTGGGACTAACAGAAACTCCTAGGGTTGTTGGATGAGGGAATAAATGTGGAACACCTAGCCAAGTACTCAGCACATAATAGGTACGTGCTAAATGAAAGGTATTATTACCAAGCTCCTCATTTTCCAGAGAGAGCAAGCGAAATTCTAAAAGGAAGAGGAGTACCTGATCAACAGTTACAGAGCTGTCTACAGACCTAGAAGCCAGTTCCTGATTTTCTCATGTTTTTTGATAATTGTCTTTCATATGGAGACTAACCAACTCCCTTTGTCTTGCTCAGTTTGGGCTACTATAACAGAATACCACAGACTAGGGGTTAGACAATAGAAGATCATTTCTCATAGTTTTGAAGGCTTGGAGTCCAAGATCAATACACAAGATTAGTATCTAGTGAAGGCCTTCTTGTTTTGCAGATGGACATCTGCTCACCGTGTCCTTACATGGTCTACAGATAAACTCTCTATCATGTGTCTTCTTGTAAGGGCACTAAGGCCATTCATGAGGACCTCACCATCATGACCCAATCACCTCCCAGAGTTTTTATCTACTAATAACCATCATATTGGGGTTAGGTTTTCAAAATATAAATTTAGGCAGGCACAAGCATTCAGTTCCCAAAGCTCATGCTCTTCTCATATGCAAAATACAATCACTCCATCCCAACAACCCTGTAAGTCTTAATTCATTCCACTATCAATTCAAAAGGTGAAAGTCCAAAGTGTCTTCTAAATATCATATCAATCAGATGTGGTTGATGCTTGATGCTTGAGGTACATTCATCCTGAAGCAACCCTCCTCTCCAGCTGTGAGGCTGTGACACCTAACAAGCACTATCACCTACCTATCTCCAGAAGATGGCCCTCCCCACCACTCGTGATGCTGCTTTCTATGGAGAGTGGGAAGGAACTTGTTCATGCTGCTTTTCTGCAGTGGTCCATTCCTTGAAGCACTGTGCAAGGCATCCTCACCCTCTGATACTGGCCTACCTTTTGGAGCCCAAGAGGAATTGCCTTCCTTTCATGGTCTGTGATGGGAGTGGCACACATGATACTATGAATCACCTTTGGGATGCTTTTCTTTTTTTTAAAGAATAGCATAGGTTCAGAGACTTCACTCATTTTTCTCTGTTAGCATTGATCTCAATGCTTCCACTATTATAAATCAATCTCTAGATAGGCTTTTGTTAAAATGGCTGAAGAGGTCCTTGATTTGTACCCATACGAATCTTATCAAATGGTCACTCAACCACACCCTTTGGGCTCTCTTCAGAGCCTCTTTCATTCTTTAAAATATGAAGGCTGAGAACTTTACAACTCTTCAAGTTCTAGTTCATTTTTGCTTAAGAATTCTTTATTTTTCCTTTAGACTTATTATAAGCAGGAGAAACCAAACTATTCCTTCAATATTTTGCTTAGAAATGTCCTGAGCTAAATAACAAATTTCACTATACACAAGTTTTACCTTCCATAAACTAGAACACAAATATAATTCAGCCAAGGTCGTTAACATTTTATAATAACAATTCCCTTTACAATTGTCCTCATTTCAATATTCCTCATTTCCATTCAAGACCTCATCAAAATCACCTTTAATGCCAAACACTTCTGTCAACTTTCTGTACATGATTGTTTGTGTATTCTCTAAGAAAACAAAAACATTCTCTGTAGCTCTCTTTTCTCTCTGATCCCTCACCAGATTTAAAAGACTCTTCACAGAAATGTGAGCTTTTTCTAGCATGTACCTCAAATCTATTCCAGCCTCTACCAGTTACCTAGTTCTACCAGTGCTTTCACATTTTTAGAAACAGATAATTCAGTCAACTGTAATGGAGCTGAAAACATTACACATGTGTTTTGTGCTGACAGTGGTATAAACAAACCCACTATCCCACCAGTCACACTGAAAAAGTGCAGCACATACAATTAGGTACAGTACCTAATACTAAACAATGTAAACCATAACAATAATAAGTGATTATGTTCCTGGTTTATGTGTTCACTTTTTACCATTATTTTACAGTGTACTCCTACTTACAAAAAAAAGTTCACTGTATGCTTTATTATAATGGCAGCAGCCTTACAGGTCTCATGTGTATTGTATTTCTTGATTGCATCAAGGGCCATGTTGAGTGATGGACCTAGACTGTCTAGGCTTATGTAAGTAATCTCTACAATGTTCACACAATGAAAAAAATCACCTAAAGATACATTAATCAGTACAAATTAATTACTGCATTATTAATTAACCAGTATCATTAATTACTTTTTTAAGTAACACATGACCCTATGTATTATAGCAGCTTCCTAATTCTCTGTACCAATTTCTTTAAGACACTGGCTCATGTGATAATGGAAGCTGAAAAGTCATGTGACTTGCCATCTGGAAGCTAGAGACCCAGGATGGATGCTAGTGGTATAATCTGAAGGCCTGAGAGCCACTGCTATATATTTCAACCTGGGTATAAAGGCCTAAGCACAGGCATACCAAGGGCAGGAGAAGACATACCCCAGGTTATGTGGTCAGGTAGTTAATTCAGTCATCCTCTACGATTCTGTTCTATTCAGGCCCTCAATGGTTCTGATGATGACCATTCAACATTGGTTAGGGTAGATCTTCACTCAGTACAGCAACTCAAATGCTAATCTCTCTGGAAACGACCTCACAGCAACATCCAGAAATGTTTAGCCAGCTATCTAGGCATCTTGTGGCCCCATAAATTGAAATATAAAATTAACCATCATACCCTTATAGGGCGAATCCACTACACACTGCAATTAAAAATTATATATATATGAAAATGTACCTTTGTGAAACCTATTTGCTCCTTCCGGAAATTTTCCAAGGGTTTGATCAGCAAATCACTAGCATTTTGGACCTGGAATAAAACAAAAATATACACAAAACAACTTTTAGGTTAACAAGATTCAGATATAAACTTCAGAAGTTTCCTAATTACTGGGATATTTTCTTGGTATAAAATATTTCTTGGTACAAAATAAAATATTTCTTGGTATAAAATATATTTCTTGGTATAAAATATATCCACCTAGGGATGGGGCCATAGTTCAGTGGTACAGTGTATGTTTAGCCCTAGGTTCAATTCCTAGCCAAAAAGCAGAATGTTAACTGGTGTACTCAGTTTATTGAGGCTTTTTTAAACTTTTTTTCCTACTTTGTCTCTAAAAATTAAATGCTTTGAGAGAAAATGAGAAAAGGAACATAAGAGGCATTTCTCTGTAACTCTAATAGTAGTCCGACCTGAGTTTTTAACCAATAAGTACCTAGACTCATGCCTAGCAACAGACGAGAATGGTAAACAAAAAGAGAATGGCAAATATATAAGGCTGACTCCATAAAGTACAAAAACTATTTTATAGAAAGCCAGTAAGTTATAAGTAACAGCATTAGCATAAATCATTTCCAGTCCTGATCTGGTGTGTCATAAAGCCAGCACATCCCTTCAGAGCCCCAAACATATAGTTTTATAGCATCCAGAGAACACTGGACTAGGACTTCATCTTATCTCACTATCTATGCTCAGAAGCTGATAGGAAATGCCTGTCCAAGCACTACAAACACTGGCAGTGACAAATTTTCAAAATATAAAAATATCCAATCCAAAGCAACGTACATGTTCAGTGCACAGGTAAAGTTATATAGTACAGTGCTCTGTCTTTATATAAATCTTACGGGCAGATTATATCTGCCTGAGGTAACACATGAGGTTTGTCTTCTCAGTGGTGAGGGTCAACCTCACTATCATGGAGGACTTCAGAAAAGGCATCATGCAGTGCTGGCTCTTATAACCCACTGCATTGATTTCCACCTGTTACAAGAAAAGGGAAACAAGGGACAGGTTTCTCTGTTCGATTAGACATAAAGTAACAGTAAAATAAGATGCATTTTCATAATAAAAACAGAAGACAGAAGTTGCAGGTATAGCTCGATGCTAGTGACTGCTTCGGATTGGAAAGGGCCTAGGTTCAGATTCCAGCATCTCCATCTCTTTCTCTGTCTTGCTCTCTCTCTCTGTCTCTCTCTCTCTCTCTCTCTGTCTCTCTCTCTTGTCTCTCTCTCTCACACACACACACACACAAAGACAGAGTAGGAAGTCAGTTTTGACTAGTTCTGATTCTCTAGGGTACTAAGCACATTTCAATCTACCACAAAAAAGCATGGAAAGTTAGAACATTAGTATGTATTTCATCCACATGCTTTAGGTACTTTGGGCCTCCCATTTCATGCCTAGGTATGATTCTAGTTTCAACTAAATGGGCAAACACCTAACAAGGCTATGCTAACATCTATGTAGAACACCCTGGTGATCCCTGACATTCTCATCTACTGTAGCTGCTAAAACTATCCCCAGGACTGCAAACACCCAGAAGAAAATACAAAATTAGGCAAGAAGAAATAATTTTTGCCTTAGTGAAAAAATAATTCCTTATATGTTTCCATAGTTGTCTTCCTAAATCCTGTGTGCTGTAGGCCTAAATTTATATGATCATGTAACTCTTCCCTACTCTTACTGACTTACAAATATAAATGTCTTATCTACAAAGACTGCCAGTCCCCATCTTATTATCATATCACATCTCGTTCACTGGATCTATGGTATGCCATACCAGACAACATTAGGTCCTAACAATACTATAACTTACCTCCCAGTATGACAATTAACATGCTCTATATCCCTGAGAGTGTTCATTAGCCAAAGGCAGAAAAATTCATGATTCTATGATCCTTCGGTAGAGATCTTTCGATAGAGTTCTCTGGTTCTTACAGAAATCCACATAATTTCTCATCCAATCAAAACTGTACTAGGAGTTCTGCTACCAAAAATGAAGACATCAGTGACTCTTTCTGATTGGAAACAGGAATCCTTCTACTAAACGTACTAGCCCAGATCTGTTGCTCCACACATTTTACACTTCCTTGGACTGGAGATTATATACCATCAATTTTGTGTACCTACCTGGAAACAAATTAAGAGATTGGTGTAATAGATCCTATACAAGGAATCATTGTTCTTCCTTACTATTGTGGAAGCCATAAAATACGACCATAAATTCTTTGGCACACACTCCTCATTGAGAAATGGCAGGTAAGTGCCCTCCATCTTGAAGATGACTGGAATTGCTACTGTTCTGAACAAAGTACTAAAGAAGTGACAGTATGTGTCTTCTGTAGCTAGATCATAAAGGGCCAGCAGTATCTACCTACTTCTCTTGGAATACTCCCCATGGGAACCCTGAGATATTATAAAAGAAGTTGCACCCCTGAGACCAAAAACTAGAGAGGTCCAATGTAAACATTCTGGTCAATATCTTATAACCAGCCAAATATACCCTTCCAGTGATACCAATCATAGGGCCAGACAAGTGGGAAGGTATTCTGGACTCTTCATATCAATTCATCTGCCAGCTGACCCTTGCTTGAACTCCTGACACACAAAGTCATGAAGTATAATTAGTTTTAATTGAAGCTGCTAGGTTTTAGAAATAGGTTGTTTATACAGCAATAGATAATTTGGCAAACCTTTTCCAATTTTCGAAAGGTAAACCATAGAGAGTGGCCATCTGCGAAACACTAAGGAAGTGTACTTTTGAACAGGAAGTAAACATGCCACTTATAAAGGGAGTACATGTACCAAGCCTCTGTATGATTGTCCAGCTGGGCCCCTGCATGTTCAGGCATCCCCAGGATGGCACTTTTGCCAATTTTTCATGTTACAAATGGGACTATCCATGGCAAGCATGTGTGCAAGCAACTTTATCAGAGTCAATAAGATCACTGCCTTTGCATATTTGGCCCTTGCCCAGTCTAGGAAAATAGTACATGATTCACTAAAATGGAGTTCATAGTTTTTCATTTGTAAAAACAACTAAATACTGGACATATCCACATTCTAGGGCTGTGAACTTCCTTACTGCAGTCCATGGACCTCACTGGAAGAAGAATAGCCTTTTTAATAAATGGTGCTAGAAAAACTGGCTTTCCACATGCCAAAGACTAAAACTAGACCCATGTCTATCACCATGCACTAAACTAAAGTCAAAATGGATCAAAGATCTAAATATTAAAACAGAAACACTTAAATCTGCTGGAAGATAGAACAGGTAGAACTCTGGAAGACAGAGATGTAGGCAGACTTTATGAACAAAACCCCAATCAGAAAGGAATTATCACAAAGAATCAACAACTGGAATCTGATCTTATTAAAAAGCTTTTGCACAGCAGCAGAAATTGCCAAGAGTGAAAAGACCACCCACAGAGTGGGAAAAAATTTGACATAAATTTTTCTTGCCATGGTGTTCTTCAGACAAAGGACTAATATCTAGAACATGTAAAGAACTGAAAAAATCACTCTCCAAATTCAAAGACACAATCCAAAAATGGGCATTTGAAATGAATAGACACTTCTGAGAAGAAGTACAAATGGCAGACAAATATATGAAAAAATATTCAACATCATTGGTTATTTAATAAATGCAAATTAAAACACCACCAAGATTCCATCTCACCCCAGAAAGAATAGTTATTATCAAGAAAACAACTAATAACAAATACTGGCAGGGCTGTGGGGAAAAAGGAACCCTTCTCCACTGTGACTAGGAGTGCAGACTGGTGCAACCACTGTGGAAATCAGTGTGGAGATTCCTCAAAAACTAGGATTAGAGGTCACATTTGACTCAGCTATTCCCCGTCTGGGTATCTTCCTGGAAGAATTAAAAACATCGTATCACAGCAATACATGTGCACCCATGTTTATAGCAGCACAGTTTGTAATACCTAAATCTTGCAATCAATCCAAATGCCCATCAACCAATGAATGGATAAAAAAGATGTGATTTTTTTATAATGAAGTATTACTCAGCCATAAAAAACAAAAAAAATTGGACTTTTACAGCTAAATGGATGGACCTTGAAGTCATAATTATAAGTGAAATCTACTGAACATTATGAAATCAAACAATATCAAATGCTGGTATCACTGGTGACAAAGGAACCCTCCTTCACTGTTGGAAATCAGTATGGAGATTTCTCAAAGAACTGAAATTAGAAATTCCGTGTGACCCAGCTATATCCCTTCTAAACATCTTCTCCAAAGAGTTTAAGACATTCTACTACAATGATAGGTGCATACCAATATTTATAGCAGCAAAACTTTTAAGAGCTAAATCCTGGAAACAGACTGGATACCTGTCAACATATAACTGGATAAAGAAAATGTGGTATCTATATTTAACAGAACACTACTCTGCTATAAAGAATGACTGATTAAAGACATTTGTAGGAAAATGGATGCACCTGGATAATATAATGCTGAGTGAAATAAACCAGACACACAAGCTTCAATACCACATGGTATGTCTTGCTTGAGTGAGGCCAAGTGCAAACAAAGAAAATAATAAAGGATGGATACAAGGGGATGGATCTCTTGTAATAGCGAAGTGATCCAAGGGGAAGAGTGAGAGGAATGAGGAGGGGAAGGGGAAATAAGTAGATATGCCATGGACAGGAACCTGATAACCTCAATTAATGTAAACATCATATGCTATACCATGAGCTAAGATTAATAATATCAAAAAGAATGAAAAAGGAGATAGAGAAACCTGGGAAAGAGGATGGAGGAGGAAAGGAGGGAAAGGGGAGTTTTAAAAAGAAACAAGCGGTGATATGTGCACTTCATCATTCACCATGATATGATTGTAATCTTCAAACATATACTAATAAAAGAAAAAATTTAAAACTGAACACTGAAAGCCACAACTTTTGTGAACATGGTCAAAAGTCCAGTTTAAGGTCGTCTGAAATTCTTTCACATTGAAATGAAGAGGGATGGGATTTCAACATTAATTTCTCTCTACCTAATGCCAAATTCTCAGGTTAAGAGTTTGTTTTTTTGTTTTGTTTTGTTGTCTTTTTTTTTTTTTTTTTTGTCTCTTTGAGACAGGGTCTCGCTTTGCAGTTCAGGCTGGCCTTGAACTCACTTTATAGCCCAGGCTGGTCTCAAACTCCCAATGATCCTCCTGCCTCAGCCTCCCAAGTGCTGGGATTACAGGCGTGCGCCACCACGCCTGGCAGGAGTTTGAAATAGAATAATTAGATCTACCAGTTCGCCTTGCTCTTGTTTATTTTCGTTTGTTTGTTTTTGCAGTACTGTGTATAGAACAGAGGTTATGTGCCCATTTTTACTTTTTATTTTGAGACGCGGTCTCAGTAAATTGTTAAATTGACCAAGCTGGTCTCAAACTTGGGATCATCCTGCCTCAGTCTCCCAGACAGCTGTGATTATAGGCATGAAACACCATGCCTGGTTTAATTAATTATTTTTACAGCACCATGAAGCTATGACACAGAACCTGAAAATGGTAAAGTCCAACACATGAAGACAAAAATAAAATCTTCAATATGAGCCATGATCTCAACTCCAAACCCAATATAAGTGACTTACCATCATCATCCTCTCGTTTTCTACTTCATTGAGCAACTCAGCAAACTCCTTGAAGGATTCAGCTGGTAGGAGAGAATAAAAGATAAAGATGATTAACCACACACAAGTGGACAGGGATCTGCCCAACACAAATACAAGTCCGCACCTCAAACTCACATAGCCCCTAGAAGAAAGTATTAAGATAAGGCTACCAGCAGAATGTGTTCAGTGCCTGTTGAATGCTTTTGCCCTTTTTCTTGTTTTGTCCATCTTTATTCAAGAGCTTTTCCATGAAGAATATTTTATGTAATTCTCAGACACCATTCGGCATACCTAGAATTTCCCTCATTTCATAGACAAGCAAAATAAATAAGGGAGGGCCACTGGGCTTGCTGTGTACATAATGTCAGCTCCAGAATCTCAAAACTTGAGTTTGGGCTTCTGCTCCACTAGTCACCAAACTAGACAAATATCTCTGTTTAAACTTTTCAGGCTTTAATTTCATCATCTATAAAATGAAATTAACTGCTATTTTGGAGTAGTTATAAAAACAAGGTTGAGATATGCATTGTGAACAGAGTTTTACAAAGTACTGTATCATTTTTCTTGATTTTAGAAGCACCATGTTGAAGTAAAAAAAAACACGTCTGCATTACTAGCTATGAGACCTCAGGGAAGCTACTTAATGGCCCTGAGATCCATTTCCCTTCCCTAGATATAATTCCTATCTCACAGGTTTGCTGTGATGGTTAAGTACAATAATACATGTACAGCTCAAACGCACATGGCAATTTCAATAAATATTAGTTCTTTACCTTGTTGAGTCTAAAGCAGTGGTTTTCAATTCTGGCACATAAGAATCACTATCACTTGTGGAACTTAAAAAATAGCAATGCCACACTCTTCCCCAGACAAATTAAACCCACATTCATCTATAAAGGAATACACTCAACTGTTTTTCTGTACTCACACAAAACTTCTTACACCAAATATGCAGGGATTTCTCTAAAATTAAGCAATTCTCCAACTCTTTCAGAAACCAACTGGTCTTAAAAATCAACTGTGATAGTAACAACCCAGAATTATTACAGGCTCCACAGGTACAGGGCTCAGTGGCACAAAATTAACCCCAACTTCTGATGTCAGTCATAAGTCCTGGATTTGACCTATACTTAATAACCAAACTAGAGGTCTCGATAAACCCCTTCTCAACCTTGATAATTTCCTAGAAGGGTTTACAGAACTCAGCAAAAACACTTTTATTACTAGTAAATGCTTATATTATAAAAGACACAATTTAGGAGCTGCCAGATGAAAGAAATGCATAGGGTAAGATATGTGGGAAGGTGTGCACAGTTTCCAGGCCCTCTCCAATGTGCCCCCTCCCAGCACCTCCATGTGTTCACCAATCTGGAAGTGCCCCCAAGCCTACTATTTAGTGACTTTCATGGAGGCTTTATTACATAGATTTGATTAAATCATTGGACACTGATGATTAAGTCAATGTCATCAGTGTACCTTTCTAGAGGTTGAAGAATGAGGCTGAAAGTTCCCTATCTCTACCCCCAAGGTTGGTTCCTCTAGCCTCCATATTCCAAAAGTTACTACATTAACATCAACTCTGGTACAGTTAAAGGAAGGGGGCTTATTATGAAGAATACAACATTCCATTCACTTCCAACACTCAAGAATTTCCAAGGATTTAGGGACTCTGTATCAGGAACCAGGGACAAAGACCAAATATGAACTTATTAGATCACAATATCACAACTTGCTAAGAGTCAGAACCTTGACTGGCCAGACAGAATACAATTGTGGGGGCTTAACGGATTTAATCAAATCAAGTACTAGGTGTTGAGTCAGGAAATAAAGCTGACTATGGTATGGAAATATGATATGATACTGAAACAAATTTCTTAAAAGAATGAACAAAACAAAATGAAAGACTATAGGACTATGTTCTCATGGTACAGAGAGTAGTAAGACACAGCTATTCTATTTTTCTGTTTTGGCTTTATTCTTGTTATATTTACCCATCAGCCCCTGACCCAATTTAATCAGAATTTGGACATTTGGTTGAAAAACATGAACGAAAAGGTAAACACCTTGTTCTATAATAACAGAGGTAGGTCTTACAGTCCTCTCAAACCATTCACATAATGCTTCAAATCCTGGGCAACATGTGCTATTCACAGTCACTGAGCCCTGATCACACACCTCTACTGACAGCAGTAACAATCAACTTAAATGGGTGTGCAGAGGGCTGTTAGAGTTTTAAAAGTGAGAGTTCCACATTCCAGAAAGCCCTATAGTCTCAATTTGTCCAGGACTCTCAGTCAACCTAAATGACAGAAAACACACTCTATTCCACTAATGGCAAACCTTTTAAAGTTAAGTACCAAAACTGCAAACAAAACCAACTTATCTATCACAAAGTGCCAACACTGCAACTGAACCTGAATACCAAGGTTTTATTTAAGAAAATCAACTCATACATTAACATCTTTTGTCTTACAAACAAACAACATGCATGTCTTAAGTTTGCTAGCGCTGCTCTATCTCAAGGTACGTGACTATATACTGCCAAGATGTCTCTGTTTAAAACTTCTTCAATAGTATTACGCCTAAATCTATCTCCCTATATTCATTTTACTTAGGTACCTGATAAAAGATTCTGGAGGACCATAAATAAAGGCACATAGTATGTCAGAAGGAACAGTATATGGAATATTAGATGATAAGGATTCTAGTTTAGAAGACAACATAGAGAGAAGAGGCATAAGTTTTAGAGAGAAATAGACCTGGATTGGCAAGCACACATCACTTTCTTGCTGTGTGACTCGGGATAAATGATGGGACCCTTTGAGCTTCAGCTACTTCACCTGTCAAATAGCCAAGATATCACAACCTGAGTGTTGCAATAAGAACTAAGTTAGATGGTAAATATAGAGTGTCAATATAGACAATAAACATTACCTTTTATCCTACTTCTCAGCCTTCTACTCTTTGACAGGCAATTCTACCACTTACTGTCAGGGTAAATAGGAAAATCAGTTTTCCTCCCCAGACTTCAACTTCTAAACACACATACACACACACACACAGCTTTAGTATTCCTTCAAATTCCTCAACTTTCTACCAGAAGCATAAAGTATATTTATTCTCAAATGGATCTGAATTACAGAACACGTATAAAAAGCCTGGAAAAACAAATGTGTCTAAATGAATCTCTAATCAAGAAACTACATTAGTGTATATTTGTAATATACAATAGTGATGTTCATTTTTGGGAACTGGTACATGCATATACAATATCTTGATTATTTTGATCCCTTTACCCTCCACTCTCCTACCATTCCCCTCCCTCTGATCCCCTGCCTTATCTGCAAAACATCTGCCTCAATTTTAAAACTTTCAATAGATTTCTCTTCCTAAAACAACTGAGCAACTAGTCCACAATTCCTAGCATAGAGGAACCTAAATTCAGTATCACTATAAGACAGACAAGAGCATATCTTTCTTCTTAAGACTGCATGTGCCCAAAAACATCTTTCAAACACTGTGAATTCATACAGAGTTCAACCTTGGAATATAAAAGATAAATACTCTACTCAGAAAGAGTAAATAGGAAAACAATTAAAATGATCATGGACCTCCAGTAAGCTGCAAAAGGAGTCAGAGATGTCTGTGTTTCGGTTGCTGTTATTCTGGCATTTTTTTCCAGGTAAGATCAAATTGCCTTGACAGGAATTGTGGCAAGTATCATATTCAAATATTTAGATTAATGTCCTAAACTATAAATGTTCCAAGCTCCTCCCTGAGAGCTTAATCCTTACAGTAACTTTATTAGTTACATGTCATTATCTTTCACTTGATGAGACAAAATGAAGGCACACAGAGACTAAGCAAATTTGTTCAAGGTCACAAAAGAAGTAAATGGCAGAGTAGGTTCCAAATCTAGACCAAATCTTGCTGGCAGAGTTAAGGTCTTTGCACTGTCATACAGCCTTTAACTCCCTAGGCGGAGATAACTGATGATTACATTACTAAATACCGTGTGAATAGGTTGCTATAAATATGTGGAAGTCACTATTACCAGTGGCTAGCTTTAAAAATTAGTCAGGCATCATCATTCACAAAGAAAAAACTCCAAATTCAATGATATTAAGGATGAATCAAAGTAAGCTTTAGCTAAAAGGTCACATCATCTTTTTACAATTAAGGTATCATTTACATATCATAAAATGTACCATTTTGAAGTGAACAACTCAGTGGTTTTAGTATATTCAGAGTTGTGCAACCATCACCATTTTCTAATTCCAAATTATTTTCATTTCTCCCAAAGAAAATCCAGATCCATTAGCATCACCACCATCCCCATTTCCACTATTTGCCCAATCCCATACAACCACTAATCTACTTCCAGTCTCTATGGATCTGCCTCAGACATTTCACAGAAATGAGAACATACATGACCTTTGCATCTGGCTAGTTTCATTTTCCATAATGTTTCAGGGTCAATCCATGTTATACCCAGTATTGATCCTATATTCTTTTCTATAGATAGATGGTATTTGTTTAATGGAAATCAAACTATGGACACTTACGTTGCTTATGGTTTTTTGCCTATTAATAATGCAACTGTGAGGATTTGAGTGTAAATTTTTGTGTGGATATATTATTTAAGTTCTTTTAAGTATATATGCAGGCATAGAACTGTTGAGTCAAAGATTATTTCTGTGGTAAACTTGTGCTTACATTGTAGCTCACATAGGGTTATATTTCTGATATTATCTCTTAGGTTTTGTAAGCAAGCACACAGATGATGTGACAATGGTGATGTCTACTGTAAGCACTCATTACACATTTCATATTTTATTGACTTTTTCATTATTTAACTATGATAACTGAAGTAAAGATATTTTGTAGAATGCTATTGGTAATTTCATTGCAGTTCATATAGGAATTTATTTCTGATGTTATTTTTCAGGTTTTGTAAGCAAGTAAACAGCATATGTGAGAAGTTGACGTTTATCCTAAATGTGTAATACACATTCAGAATTTAATACTTTATTTTACTGAT